TTGGATGAGTCATAGTGATTTACATACCCTGAGTCTGTGGGAGGCCTTGAAAAGGAAAGGAGACCAGGTAAATGGGCAAATAAAAAGTACAAGTTTAATGAGATTTTAAGATTCAGCACCTGAATTTTCCCTTTTAACAAGGGAATCTAGAAAAGCAGTTCCTAAGAAAACATATTGGCTCCTAGATTTTTGTTCTGAGGTCAAAGAATCAACATCTAGGACTATAGAGACATCGCACTATGTTGTGAGGGTTTTTACACACCCTCTCAGCTTCAGTCTAATGACCAGAATTTGTATACAATCAAGTGCTTTACTTGGTGTTTTTTGGGTACAGAAATGGCCAGGCAGCCCACATCTTCTTAACTCTGCCAACCCTGGCACCCTGTTTTAGATGTGTGTGCACTTTCTTAGACTGTACCGTTCCCGGCAGGATACCAGAGGGAAAGGCTGTTAGAAAATGGCACTCAATTTTTAATTGTGAAGATTCCTTTCTGTCAAGAGCATTCTTTTAATTAGCCAAGTACCACATAGTTTTGATAAAGAAACCCGGCATCGCAAGCAAAAAGATATTTCCTAATTTAAATCCTTGAAAATTAACATGGAGAAACAAGAATGACAAGGATATCTACTTGATCTCTCTGAAAAGATTTCTGATTAAGCCCTTTCACAAGTACCTCCTGAGCAATGAGTAAGTATCCTCTCTATGTTTTTAAACTCCTCAGGAGTCCTGAGAGCAATACCAAACACTGTTGGGCTTTCACCTTTTCTCTTGTGCCCTCTTGCCCATCCTCACCACACACCAAAGTGCCCGCTTACAGAGGCAAGGGAGAGCACATGTGGGAGATCCCTTCAGACAAGATGTGGCCATGTTCTCCTTTCCATTCTCCCTTGTCTGCAACATGGACAAATTCCTGGTGTCTGTGCTTCAGAGACTTTCAAATAAGTTACTGAAAGCACTGCAACACTCAGAAATGCACTTTAAGTTAAGGTCACACAATGTGCTCTGGCTGTGGGGTGGCCAGTGGTGCACAAGGGGATTTTCACTTGGCTTTAAGCTAGAGAGCATGTGCCTGGCTTGCATGGGAGCCCAGGGCCCAGCACAGGCTGGCCAGAGGATCACCTCCACCTGCATCACACACAGCTCTACAACAGTGTTCCTAGGAACAAGTTCAGTAATTTAGACATAGCAGCAATTGCGACAGAAGCTAATTAAGAACTTCTCAGACACCTTGGAAAAGTGGGTTTATGGAAAATAAGGGTATCGGACCACTACAAACAGAACTCGGAGCTCTCACCTGGCTGCTGAAAGATGCTGCTTGCTTTGCCAAGATGCAGCAACCAACAGCCCATCTGTTCTTGGTTTCTTCCAAACAACCAAACAGGTGACCTCCATGAAGGGTCAAGGAAAGCCTGCTTTATTTCACATATGCACCAGGTGAGGGACATTAGTTCACAAGGCCAGTAAGTGCCTCTCAGCTAAGGGGCAGAAATTAAGACACCAAACCTCCACTGGACATAGCTGGGTCATAACTTTAATCTGTTAACTCTGCGGCTGCAAGCTATACACAAAGCAAGTGCTCGGGTAAGGGAAGAGGATGAAATTCTGGAGAAGAGTAACATACATAAGTATCTTAATCCTTCAGATACAAAAAGCTGCCAAAGACTTTTAATGGAGGCAGCAAATATATCCCCATAACGAAGTTCAGGAGTCCCCTTCATTCAGGAAGTCACAAGAGTCACCCACAATGTGAATGTAACCTTTGTGGACAGATTAAGTCCAGTAAGATCACTGGGCACTCTTGCAATGAAATGGATCTATGTGAAAAATGAACAACTGAGACTAGGAACAAACACCTATTAACTCTTCTTTGGTAATTTACTCACCTTGGACTAACACCAGCAGCACTGATGAGGGAAGCAAACAAATGGACTCACATCTTTACTGCAATCCCAGAAAGCACCCAAGGAGAGCACGAGTGATTTTCCCTGGTTGACTTCACTGTACAAGGGAGAAAGCTGGACAAATTACCAGGAATAAGGTGTTTGGTGAAGAGGGTGAGCACCACCCTCATTGCTATGCTCAAGCCAACACTGCAAAGTAGCTTCTGCTTCCTTAGGAATGTCCAACACGTAACACCCAATAGTTACTGAGGGGTTGCTACCCAGTACTTACAAGCTGGGTATTACCGAACCCGTAATTAAGTCACTAGTTTGATTACCTGTGATTATGAATACTGAAAATGTAATATCCAAAGATACCCAAATTAACATGGTAGTCTACTGAAAAGAGCTGAGCGGTAAAATTAACTGCTTCCTACACTCCCCAGGAACATAAAAGATCCCATGACTGAAAAGTCAATAGCAGGAAGAAAAGTCTGAAGGTCTGTTATGATTAAAGTTCTTTTCTCTCCTTCAAGTGCCTAATGCAAGATAAACCAGAGTCTGTTCCCCCACAGGAATAGACTGTCACTGTGTAATCCCATCAGTCAAACATGTACAAGGGCAACTGCACAGTTCTACAGCCTGAGCCAGCCGCAAAGGTTTACCCAGTTTAAAATAAAGCAAGTTGAAGGTCTCAAGCATGGCTTGACAAAACGCCAGCAAGCCCATTTCTGCTCGACAGACGTCACCTCTGAAAGTACAATATTGCTACAGTAAAAACTGGGATGATTTGGGATGGAGGAGGCAACCCCAAGCAGACCATTCAGGAGGGCAGGAAAGAGCAAGGGAGGGAAATCATCAAGAAACAATGGAAAAGATAAGACGGTCTGAAAATATGCACGCCACTGGGTCTCAGCAGAGCACAGTGAGCCATTCAAGAAGCCACCGAAGTGCAGTCACCAGACTGAACTCCATCCATCACAGAGGAGTATCTGCCATTTGAACAATGGAGTGCACCCAACTCGCCTCCATGCAGAGCCCGGAGATTCCCTGCTGTACAGCCATTCCTGCACTTCAATGGGAAACCCCTGCATTTCTCACCATGATCCTGGATTTTTGGCATATCATCACCTTTCTCTGCCTCAATTTCTAACACTGACTGGACCAAAAGTGACATATGACCAACCACAAAATATTGTGAAACTTAACATCTGTATCACTACAAGCATTTAAAACTACCAAAACAAGCTAGAAATTAAGTTCTCTCTGGCCCAATTTGTTTGCGTGCTTGCAGCCCTACCTAGTTTGTTTCCAGTTTTTTGGGGGGATTTTCATACAGCAACAAGGATGGCTCCCTCCCCATGAGAAGTTATCTTTGCAACCTTTGAAGAAAGCAACCTGAGAGCAGAATATACAGAAGCATGTGAGACTTGAGGAACTTTACATCATCGTCCAGATTCTTCTGAGAATTGTCCAAAGCTTCCTATGAAAAAAAAAAACAAAACCCAAAAAACCCACCCCAAACAAAACACGGAGGAAAACACTACCAGGCTTTAGGACCACACATTGAGGTACTCGGGGAGATCAGAGTCAGGAGAGAGGGACATTTTCCAGGGGTGCCTCTTCTGTAACCTAGAGACTCTGCTGACTCTGCAGAAAGATCAGCCTCCATGTTTGGAGGCTGAAGCTCAGTCCTTACAAATACCCTTTTGCCCCCTCACCCAGAGCTAGACTATGCTTCAATTAATAGATCAACATCAGGGCGAGGATTTCCAGACCCAGGAGTTTTCCTTTGGCACTGATGACACTAAAACAAAACAAACAAAAAAAGAAAAGGCAGCACCTCAAACCAAGCCCAAACAAAAACCTAAGCAGAACATGTTCCCTGTGACAAAGTGATCTTGCACAGTAGCTGGAGCAGTAATCCTAGAAATGCACATCCTGCCATACTTCACCAAGACTTGTTTTTCCCTCTATACTTTCACTTTTCATAAAATAACCAAAGCAGTATGTTGCCATCATAGAACACCACAGGCACCATTACATCATCTTTAAAAGACAATGAACAACTCCAAAATTTGAAAACTCCTTCGCTACCCTATGGTATATAATTTGCCCCTTTTCAGAGAAAAGCCTGAATAGCCACACACGCAGCGCCGTGAACTGATTCAGTTTAAGCAATCAACCCACAAGGGAAGTAGAATTGTGAAATGCCGCAAGAAGATCTGTTTGTGAAGCACCCGTGTCAGTGCTCAGTGAGAGTAAATTATACTTCTGGGACAGGTGCACATCTGGGAGAGCTCTTCTCTTGCCAGGATTTCCACAGAGATGGGAGGGAACTGCATTCCTTGCGGGATTTCCATCCAAGCCTCCACTACCAACTGGAAATTAAGCCTGAGGCTCACTGCTTGGCGTTACTGATGAAGATACTGAGTACAAAGACGAGAGGGACCGGAAGGACACATGCAGACTAGCTTTAGGCAGTCTGGCAGGAACTGCATAAGGGACTAGAGCTACTCTGCAGTGGTGGCTGAGACAGGAGAACAGAGCATGTCCCAGCCTTGTCTTTCTTCTCAGCTTCAACCAACTGCCCATTTGGCACCAAAGCAGTGAGGTACAGGCACACTCTGCTGTACCGCTGACAGAGGCAGGGGAAAGGCATTCATCCCAGCAGAGGACAGAGGGGTCAGTAACAGCTGAGAGTTTGATGCCTGCCAAAAGGCTAGGAATAGCACCCTGGAGTCCTGCATTTTAGCTGAGTATTAGGTAAGACCATCACCCTGGAATGCACACGCTTCACAGCTGGACCTGAAGGGCATAAGACCTATTGTCCCCACCAAGTCCCACATAAAGTTCGAGGGAGTGTGAATGCAGAAGGCAACAGGGGATTTGGAGAAAGACTGAGCCTCTCCTATAGCAAGCAGGATGACAGTAGATGACAGTGCAACATGAGCTAACAGCAAGTTATCTTGCTACACGGAAAGCTTCTAGCTTGTGTTAGTTAAGTCCGAGATGTACTCATTAACCTTGGAGAAAAAGAGTTTATTTATTCCATTGGCTTATTAGAGGAGATTGCCAACCAGAACAGCTAAAATAGGAAAAGTTTCCACAACCTGGGACAAAAAAGGTCCTGGGCTTTAGGAAGTTTATGAAGAACCATGAGCTACTACAGCAGCATACTCAGGAACCTTGGCTGATCTGGAAAATGGATAGATTTAGTTCATTTTGAATGACAAGAACACTCATGTCCCTAGCCCCCATTCCCTCTCAGCACCTCTGCAGGCCCTCAATGTAATGTCACCCTGCAATAGCCACACTGCAGAATAGCCTACGCAAACTCCAGTTGTGCAAGCTGATACCTGGGACGGGCAGAAAAGGAACAGAAGATCAATTTTTGCTCCTGGCACTGCTGAAAACTACAATTCAAATACAAGCAAACTTTTGAGAACTCCTGCACTTCTACAGTTTGGGCTTGATGGGCAATACCCCTAGGGAATCCGTCCCTGGGCTTCAATGAGTACAGCTTAAAATTACCATATTCCTCTATGTATAAACAGTGTCATTAGACTTGTACTTTTAAAAATAAGATCAACCCAGACCAGGGCCAGGCTCTGCAGATAAAGTAGTAGCTTATCTCTTATAAATATTTTTAATATTTTTTAATTACAAGTAGTCCTCACTCCAGGTAATGTAACTGACACAAAGTACCTGCACACACGCAGCCCCTAGACTTTCACAGAAAGCCCAGGAGCAACCACTCTATAAGAAAGGAATCCTACCTCACAGCAAAGTAGAGGAGGGGGCACATGGCCAAGATAGCCTAAATGTGGGGGAATAGTCATTTGGAGTAAATACAATTAAAAGGGATTTCAAAAACCCTTCATATAAAGGATCAAGGAGGTTAAAGCAAAAAACTGGTTCAAAAAGATGTACAAAACTGTTGGAGACCAACAGAAAACTCTGCCAAAAAATAACTTGATTTAAATCAGAAATAAACGGCATCACACAATTCTGTTGTTAAAAAAAGGAAAAGAAAAGTGGAAATCTGTGTAAAGATCAGCATTTATAAAGAGTTATCATTAGCTCCAGAGACCAGCGTAGTTCCCATGAAGTCCTGATGGAAGGGGGCCTCCTGCCACAAAGAGTTTCGTTCCAGACGAGTCATAGCAGTGGGTGTAAACAGCATTTGGGAAGAAATTTATGTCAGAAAAATAATTCCTCCAGGTTTCATCATGATTCTGTTAAAGGAAAGTTTAGATTGTTATTGTTGCTAAACAAATCCAAAACCTTGTTTCACAAAAGCAGAAGGTAGCTTCCAGAGCCTAAAAAGGAATCTTTTTTTGGTAATACTCCCTGAAGCTTCAGACAGATCAACCTGAAGATACCAGAGTTATCCCGAAGCTTTTTCTGAGGACATTTGGGCCAAACATTGGAGGGGGGAAGGTGGAGGGTAGGGAAGATATCAAGTTTCATTAGTTTTTAAAGTTACATCACAATGATATGAAAGCTAATGGAGAGAAGTTAGACAAAGCCATTAACTGCTTTATAACAACATACAGGAAATTGAACTCAAGTGCCTGCCATGGCATTACCTCAGGAAGCCACAGTTTCTAAAATTGCACACAATTAAATTAATCTCTCTTACTTTGAGTACCACGTTGGAGTAGCACGTTTTTGAAGGAAGACAACATATTTTGTGTTTGAGGTTCTGAAAACTGGAAGTTAGATTACATTCGAAAACATAAAGATATAAAATCTAGTTTATTTATGAATCAGTGCATAAGAAAAGGAATCAGTATGCCTTACACTCAAGCAACCAACCATTCAATACTCTTTCATAAAGGTTTTGTAGAAAGCAATTCTGCAGTACTTCTTGCTTTTTGTGATTACGGCTATTGGTTACATGATCACTATTTTGCTGGGACGCATTTCATACAATCGCTCCCACGACTACAAAGAGAACCATTTCTCAAGCCCTACAGCACTCCTGTGTAAAAGGTCGCCTACAGCTACATGCAACTCACCAGCCAGCCTTTCCCAGTAGTCAACTTCAAAATTTCACTTCCTCCTAATTTCTGCTTCTGTCCATAGCAGGCACGTGGGGGCTTTTCATCCAGGAACCTCTGGGCTCTGATGTCGTAAAACAATAAAGAACCTTGGCCCGTTCCCACTGTGATGATGTGCTCGTAGAAGCTCACCGATCGAATACCTGTCAAACAGAGAAGGGACATACAACGCAGTAAGGGAGATGGATGCTTTGGCTCTGCAGTGCAGCTGCTTGATGTCTAATATTTTCTTTAAGAGGAACCACCTAGTAGTATTTTCCACAACACATAAGTTTCCCCACTACTATGGAGCAGTGCAGATAAATCCCATTGATGCTATTGAAACAGTAGCTTCAATTACATATACTACTTCCCTTCTCCTGAGGCCATCAGCTACACTGATGGTGCATAGTCAGAAGCTTCATTCTCAGCAGGCCCCAGCTTTTCCAGATAAGCAAAGATCATAAGCCATTTAGGATCAAGAGCAGCTTCGTGAACACTCTAAGGCTCTAAGTGAACACACCATGAGCGAGAACATGGCAGCAGACAGAGGAAAGAACATCACATTGGTTTCCTCCATGAGCCCACACCCTATCTAGCTACCTGCCAAGCTGCGATGTGACCATGTGAGAAAAATTACTGTCCCAGCTGCCACCAAGTGCATTTTGCTGATCAACAAGCTAGCTGTAAGCAAGTACAATCATAATAATCACTAGTCACTTTGCTGCTAAGATAGATCAGGCTCTTTAATAATTTTGAAGCTATCTCCACTCAAATATTCTCACACAAGCACACCTTACTCTTTGTAGCTGGCACTTTTAGCACTTCACCTAGCAATGAAAACAGACTAGGAATCCTACAACCTAAGCAACACCATGTTACGCCAGCACATGGGAAGCTACAGCAAGTTTCCAGTCCAAACAAAATATTCTAGCACAATTCAATTATGCCATTAGATTGAGTAAAAGGAGTACATTTTGTTTCCACAAAAATCTAAATCTGAAGCCGCAGCTAAACAAGGATCCCTTGGAAACAGTCTTGGGGAGATTCTGTATGTAGGAATTTGCAATTTGCAAAATGTCCTGTCATCTCACCTCTATTTATTGTGCAAAAGGTTTGTTCTGTGTAAGCACTCTACCCCAAACAACTCTTCTACGCAGATTAAACCCCGCCACATATACGCTTTTCCTTACTGCACAACATAATGCCAGGTTATAAACTCCAGGGCTTTTCAAGCCCTCTTCAAAATACCATTGAGTTACAGCCTAAACAAGCATTCAAACAGGAGGGGAAAAGTAGTGAGTTACACCAGCTACATCCACGTGCCAACTGCTGTCACCGTACCAAGTGGGACTGAATGTCACAAAACTTGTAACATACTGGAATACACCCAGCAGGACACGTGACAGCAGACATCTGAGGTGTGGATGCAGCCAGGGAGTTTCCCCTTCCCCTTTGTACAGAGTCCTGACTGGAAACACATCCTCATCCTTCCGCCTCCGCAACCTGATGTTACATCCCCAGCCACCAGCATCTGTGACACACACTTAGAACAGGCAAGGCCACATCGTTGTGCTCCAGATGGGAGGTGAAGTCTTGGCTGCAGGCTTAATAGGCGGGAAACCACTGTGCAAGTCTCACACCTGCTGAATTAGATTTACCAGATTTGTATAAGAATCTCCAATTCAGAGAATTACAAATGCATCTGAGCAAGTTGGAGACATTTCCCCCCACCATTACAAGGGCCTGGCTCTGGCAAATACATGCAGAAAGCTTTAAGCCCTCTGCAATCAGCAAGAGCAGTCACTTGAATAAGAGGAGAAGGGCACAAGAGGGGACCTCCTATTTTTGCTCCAAAAGTCCACTTGACAAGCAACCCAGCAGAACACTTACTTAACAGAAACAGGTGATGGAGTATGAAAGCAGATGGCATATACTTTTCAATGCAATTTATTAATAAAAAGCTATAAAATGCAGAACAACTGTGAATCTTTCTCTAATCAAAAAAATTAACTGAAGGAATCCGTGATGTACCCACTACTAAGAGGATGTTTAGAACAGGCTTTCAAGAACAGCACTTCAAATTGGCTCCTAAGGGGCTGAAGTACCTCAGATTAATCATTCCCATCAAACTAAAAGCACAACCTGTGCCTAGAACTGATCACAGTAAGCTCTCCAACATACCCAGCACTCTACCACCTGGACCTGGACTATTTGGGTCAGCAAATTGAGTCTCGCTCCTGAGAGGCAGGGAGGCTCTACACATCCCAGAAGGAAATGAAGACGCAGTACCGTGTCCTACACAAGGAGCAGACACAGAGTCCGTGCTGCACAATCTCTGTCCACTATGTTAACGTTGCTGCCTTCAGGATATAAAGTCAAGGGCAGACGACATAGTACTGCATGCCAGCCAAGCAGAAAGCAGTTGCTCTTGCAGATCAAGAAGTTGAGTCCAGGGCCTGCACTTCCCTGTACAGCTGCTGAGAAAAGCAACACTCACAAGATGTACCAAAAAGCAACAGCTACCTTCTCATGTAGAGCAGACAGGGTTACACTGGGTAAAAAACAGCCCCAGTTCCAGTCTTACTAAGCGACAACCTTTCTCTGACCTGCTTTTGTATACAACCCTAATGATCTGAAGTTAACGTGGACTTACCACGTTCATTTGGAAGCTGAAAGCACATTCAGGTAACACTTCAAAGCACTTAAGTCAACCCAGATTTTAGTCTGCAAATCAATAAGCAGCCTACTTTCTCAAGGTGCTGCACCGCTCCAAGTCCCAGTGAGATCAATAGAAAGTTGAAACACTTGGTATCTTGGGATTTAATATTACTTAAGTGCCTCCACCATCATGCCAAGGAAAAAGATCTGCCTACTATGCAGAACAGAACATAGCGTCGAACAAAGGCTTTCTCCAGACATGAACTGGAGATGCCCCAGACATACTACCTACACACAGATCATCCCCCCAGCAGGGATGATCACATACTCAAGGCAGAAGCTTTCAGCCACCAACCACCACTGGGCACCACACTCCAGTGTCTTGGTATTTCTTCCCTATGATACTGAAGGGTGACAGCGTCAAGGACCTTCACAGAGCCCTCACTGATAGGGTCAGGACAAGGGCTGTTGCTGATAAGGTGTTCAGGTGACAACATGCGCTGGTGAAGCACCTTTTCTCATATTATAGAAACTGATCCCGTATCCGAAAGAAGCAGACCCTGACATTTATCTAGACAGCACTGTTCAAACTCCAGTAACCACATTAATAAAACTTTCCTAATCCTTGCCTACACGCTTTCTCTTTTGATAACTTGCCCAATGAAGAGATGATGCCCAGAGCCAACCTAAGTAAGGACTGCAACTTATTAGTCTGGGATTAATATGGTTTAAAATGGGCATCACAGTGCCTTCTCATGCTTGAAAATAAAGGGTATGGGAAGAAGCTTATGGGACCATGCACCCTGCAAGCCCTCATGCTTGGCCCTGGTATAAGGTTCAATTTGACATACTGCATCCACATCAAGAATCTCACTCACTTTAAAATTACAAAGCAAGCATTCACTCACAGCACAGACTCCCAACATGATAGCACAGAGCAGACAACATGCTTTTTTTTCGTTCCCAGAGAAAAATGCAAGAATAGACAGTATTAATAGCAGTACGAAGGCCGGATTTGCTTTGAGATGAAGTAAAACAGAATAAGACACAGTAAAAAATAAGTAGAAGTAAAATGCAGTTTTAAAAGTTCAGTAATATTTGGATGGTGTTCAATTTAGTTGATCATAAAAGCACTAATGTTGTCTATCACTAGATTTCAGAGTCGCTTTTAAGTTTGGTTTGTTGGTTGTTCAAGGAATACTATCATAAAAGCAAAACCTACATATACTATTAACGATTTAGTCTATCACATGAAAAACCCTTCCTATTTATTAAAAGCTTATCTTACTGCAGTCTTAATAGCTACTTCTGCAAGCAAACCATTTGAAGCACCCTTTGACAAATTTCTTACCACTGCCTCGTTCTTTGGAACAGACGGATTTAACATTGTGAGAAGGCTGCCTTGGATCCAGAAAGGAGACATGTGCCTGTGATCCTACTGCATACACTGACCACTCCTGACCATAAGCCAAACACACGTTCTCCCTGCAGTATGGCAACTTTGTGGAAAGTAACTGGAAACGGAAGAAATAAAAATCAACCCGTTATGAGAAAAGAGCAAGATGTTAATAGAACAATTCTGCAAGCTATGTTCAAGGAAGTTGCAGTGAAAAAACCAAAATGCAGCTAAAAAATAAGTTCACCACAAAAACAGAACTTTAAGAGAAAAGCGACAACCTGATGCAGAGAAAAAAACCTGAAGGAGATGAGATGCCTTATCTGAACCACGCTGAGATTTATAAAGGCTGAAGCCAAGTATTATGCAAAGAAAAATGAACATTTTGGCAAATTGTTTTAAATCTTTCTAAGCTGCTGTTATTTCTTCAGCAGGTGCACACAGACATCAGCTCTCAGCTGAAAAAACTTATCGCATACACTAGCATAGATATTCTGGGTTTGACCTGCAATTACACTTAAATAAGTGCAACTTCCTTTATGAACACTGCTAATCAAGTATCCGTCATACTCCATGGAAAGGTTCACTTCAGCTCACCCAGAACTGGCAGAAAGTTAAGAGCCCTTCCCGCCCTCCAAAATAAGGGGAGCGGGGAGTTTCTCTCCTGAAGTTCTAATTTTTAGGACACTTCATTTTACATAAAGCTTTTAAGTGTTTTACAAACACTGTTGCTCTTTCTTCAAGCATTTAAAGGAGATTAAGAATAGTGAACAGCCTTAACTGCTAGGCCAGTTTTGAAACTTAACACCAACAAACAGAAAAGCACCTTTGATAGTGTGTGCTCTGCTTTCCAAAGATGAAAATACCCATCTAGGGACACAGCTCCCAGCTCCTATAAAAAAAAAAAGGTAAGAAAGTTAGTTTCTGTATTACAGATGTCCTTACAAACTCACACTCTACTAGGCAGACCGCATACTCCAGACTGAACTCATCCATAATCCTGTACATGCTTGTAAAGGTATGTTTTCATTTTACACTGATCTTGATGGAATGCAATACAGCACAAAGGTGCCAGGTAGAATAAGAATAAATAGAAGAGTAAATAACCAAAAATAACTTTCAAAAGTAGAGATCTTGTTAGTCAATCAAATAATGAATTATTAGACAGTACAAGCTAGAGTTGGCAATTCTCTTCAGCAGCTGCCACACCGATTCTGACCCTGAAGCAAACATTTCTTTCCAGGCACTACTCTGCTGAAAAAGCTGTTTGAAGTCTCCACCACAGAGGAGTAATTAACAGCTATAGTGAAAAATAAAGTCCACAGGAGCACCCTGCTTCTGAGAGCACACCCACCTTTGCTTCAGACCTTCTATGTTCTTTGAGGGCAGAAAGAAAAGTAGTGGAGGATGAGCTGCTACTCCCACTAGTAATAACAAGAGATCAGCATGGGGCAGGTTAACATTTACTATTTGTCAAACGCCAACAAAGTAACACCAAAGCAAGCACTGGTGCCTGCCCTGTGTGTCAGTCACCTCAACTGCTGAGCAACCCAGTAACGATTCAGCCATCAGAACAGGAACTGCCTGAATGTTAGCTGGTCTTCATGAAAGGGGAAGGAAAGCAGCAAGAGCACTCAAGAGTGGGACTCAAGCTGTAAGAGGTGTTTTGGTGCTTTATCTGCTTCTTGTAAACATAACCCCCCCACTCCTCCTTAGGGTGCAAGTCTAAAATCAAACCCACAGGAAAATTGTTCCTTCTGAAAACATATGGTTTTTTTTCTACTGGACTTCTCCATTCACATGGGGCAGAAGCAGACATAGCAGATAAAGACGACCATCTCACATGAGAAGGATGCAAAAGGATCAGGTAAAAAATATTAGGTTGCTTCTCCAGTATTTCTGATTTAGATTACTTTTGTCTTTTTCTAATACATATGGACAGTTTTAGGACTTCTCAACTGTCTTGCTTATCTCACTGACCTTGTTCTTATTGTTGAAAGCCAATGCTCGGACTTTGCAGTTGTCAGGATTGGTGTTCTCCTTGGGGATATCCTTCAGAGCCCTGTGTGTTATGTGGGCATAGACAGGAACTTGAGAGAGATTATGCCTGGCATCGCTTTTGGACAACACATCCTCTGTGACTTCCCAGAGACCCATCGAACCGTCCCGGGAACCTGAATAAACAGCCCACAAATAAATAGTCCATTTCATATATACGTAAATCCTCTTTTTAAAAAAGGAATAAACAATAGGGTCTGAAACAAAGGATACTATTAATTGAATCTAACTGAACACACTGTTGGTTCCTATATATTAATTATTATTAACAAAAACATGATTTTACTGAGCTGTAAAGTTCATAACATTATGAACTCCTTGTCAACTGATTTGTCTACATGGTTTCCAAGCAGCTAGATCACTTCATCTGTTTTCAAACCGATTAGGATGCATCAAAAAACACAACCCTGTACAACAATCACCATTAGAGATTTACACGTAGAATAAACTCAGAGGTGACTGAATAGCCTACGCTTTCAGCCTGGCTTACCAAGGCTGAGATTGACAGCCCGTTAAGCCAATATAAAAACCTCCAAGAAAAATCAGTTTGGGTTCATTTGATTTCTGCCAGTATGCTCACAGATATATTACACATATTTGTGAACTGAACAGGAATAACTATTTCAAACCACAATGTGTACTGATTTGCATCAAATCTATTTTTTAAATAGAAACTGAGGCTGAACAAGCAAGAACTCACTTTATTTTTCTACTGAATTTGAAGATATTAATCCAAAACATGAATCAATAAGAGTAATAATACTGGATGAAGAAAGCTGAATGTCTGGTTTGTAGATCGACACGGGCTTAATCCAAGGCCCTATACCCATCCCTTCTGGTGTTTAGGCAACTCACTTCCATCTAAGTCAGCTCTGACAGATTTGACTTGTACCTCAATTTCTTCCCTACAATCCCTCCTTCTCTCACAGGGAATGCATAAGAAATGTTTCATGTCTTGAAGATGCCAGAAAAAACGAAGTATCTACATCAGGCTATTAAATGTATAGGCTGTGGTACATCACAGGGAATAAGCTGCAAAGACAGTTAAGCAAAACATCTTGTTGCAATACAGGTGGTCCCACACAGCGGAGATGGCTTTGCCCCCTCACAGATGGATTCAGTCATTTGCCACTATCACCTACTACAGCCAAATACAAAAGGAGGTTCCTAATGGCACTGCATAGCAGCAGGCAGCACATGACACTACATCCTGCCAGTCAGTTTACATGCTGATGGTCTTTAATGGTACCTAATCTTGTTTGTTATGGAGGCTGAATACTCAGCAGTAGAATTTCTAAACATCTTGACATACTTTAGGAGGAAGCTGTCTCTTTTAACAGCCCTAGCAGGGGAAAAAGTCAGTGTATGTTGCTCAACTGGTTAGCCCTGAAGCCAAGGACAGTATCATTTGTTAATGGCTCATGCAATTATTCATCCCATCTGAAGCTTTTCCCATGGAAATATTTTCATCAGGCCAGTACAACTGAGTGGACTGATGCATTCTCCCTCAGCTATGGTTGCTTAGTCAAGAGTTTAATTTTATGCTTATAGACTACTGACATACACTGCTGAAGGTTTTACAAGCAGAGTCCTGCCTTGTTCTTGTTAAAGTTAAGACAAGCAAGAGGAATAATCAAGCCCCTGGCCCTCTTTGTACTCTCTCAACAGTTCTGACGGCAGTGAGAAAAATATACTGCCAAATCTCAAACCTCAGGCTATATGATCGGTGTGATCTGCCGTGGGACCAAATGTCCTTTTTTCTTCCTGTGGCATTTAGCCTGCCCCAAGAAAGTCACAAAAAATCTGCATTTAGTTTCTTAATTCAGATAAAGGTATTTGCTATATCCTCAATGTTTTGAGTTCATATATTTCCACTCCACACTTTCAGATACAGATGTAACGGAAATCTGTAAGATTAAAACAATGTCAGAAGTTACTTGTCTTTGTTTTCTCCTGATTAGGATCATCAGCGAAGTTCTGAAGAACTCAGTTTAGCAATCAGACTTGCTAATTGCTTTCAACAAGTTTTCCCTGGTGTCTCAGGTCTGGAGACTAGAACCTACATCCTGCTGTACGCATCATACAACAGAGGACATGACAGCCTTCCACTCACACCTCCAACCGCAGAAAACATTGAGAGCAACACAGTTCAATCTCACATGCTGTGCCTCTATTCCATTGGGTCCTTATCTTTCCCTTGGATATCTGTAATCATCTCTGCTGTTCTCTTCAAGCTTACTAGCTGACAATGTTTTTTTTAATGCAGGTATTTGGGTTGGAGACTTGCAAGGATCAAGTTTTATCTTAAATTCAAACTAAAATTCCAGGGTTTTTTTTGGGGGGAGGGGGGAAAATCTTACTGACTAACAATTCAAGTATTTGATTTTTATATGAGACTGTTACGATTTTCTGTCACCTGCAGCTTGACACCTCTCTGTACAGAATACTACACCCTGTCAGCACAGAAAGACAGTAAACTACTAAATTAGTGCAATAGCATATTAGTATTGCTGCCTTTACCTAATTAAGTAATACTTTATGAAGTCACACTGATTGTCCGACTAGTTACCAAAAAATCAGTAACTGACCTTTTCTATTACAGCCTGCTGTATTAACTGCCATAGTATATGTGTATACACCCCCCCCTCCCAAAACTGAGTTTTCATTAATTAGTCTTTCATAGGATTTCAGGAAACCGATATTGCTCTGCTGTATTCCAAAGTTATTAACTGATAACCAACACCCCTCTTGAAATTCTTCTTCTTGTGTGGAATCCTTCCCTGTAATTCACTGTGTTTAGAGATCCTCTCATGGCAACACCTATTGGAAAGACAGTAATATTCCCTCCGATACTAGAAAAATCAAATCTAGACCAGGGCCCTGCAAATAAAATGAAGTGAAGCACTGTACTAAGACCAAGAACGGTATAAATAGCCAAAGTAGTTCCAAGTGGTTTCAAATGCCCTGATAAAGGTGCTTCCCTAAGACCTATAAAGTACTGTATATCAGTATAAGACTCTGGAAAGGCAAAAAGAAAAAAAAAAAAAGAGGAAAAAATTTACTTTACCAGAAACAGCCATAGTATCGCTGATCCATGCAATTGAAAATATCCAATCCTTATGTCCATCCTAAAAGAAAAAAAGACAGATTTTTCTCTGCCATTATACTCTAGAGTAGTCTCAAAGCAGACAAGTATTCTTCACTGTGATTTTTTAGAACAAACTCAGCAGGACAGACCTACGTTAAAAACATACAGATAAGATTCCAGTATCAAGTTGGAACAGTTTAAATACCTAACAATAATTTTAACTTTTTTTGATTTTAAAGTGTCTAATTAATAGAGAGCAATTAGGTGATGGAAAAACAGGTCTCTGACCAAGGGCAAACTGATCTCAATTCTAAGGACTTAGATTTTCCATTTTGAAAGCAGCGTTCTTCACTTCTGTAAAGTAGCTACATACTTTTATTTCCTCAAATGCACATCCCTACCATAAAAAGTAACAAAAACCTTATGTTTACAATATATGACCTACAGATTAATTTTTCAAGACTGTTAGTTCAAGAATCTTTTCTTTAGCAGGTGAGAAACCTATGGGGAAAAAAGACCATAATGCTCTAGTTCTGTCTGAAAAGCTGCAAAGTCACAGCAGCACGCAAATGAAAAGCAAGTCATACAAATCTTCAGAGTTGAGCCTTTCTGCAGCTGGTTATCTGCAGAAACTCTGACCTGACCTTTGCTGTTGTAGTTAACGTCTACATAAAGTCCTGAATCAAAAAGGAGAAATGAGAGAGAAGTGCTTACAGGACACCACTATACTCATTTCAGCCTTTTTTCTTTTTAAGACTGACTATTTTAAAAAGGCCTCATGATGTTTCAGAATTATAAGCAGTACCAGAGCCTATCAAACTGTCATAAGCCACTGGGTTAGAACTAATACTCAAACCCAAGTTCTGCCTCTGAAATAATACATACATAAGCTGCACTGGAGAATGGGAAAATCTGAACAACTTGTATCATCTTTTCAATTTCTCAGAAGAGCTTTTTCACTAAAACTAGTTTCAGAGGTCATGACCACAATTAGACTTTAACATTTAGGATTTTGTTACATTTTCAGTGCTTAAAAGTAATCTGAAGTAGACCTGAAGGAGGGTGAGGAAGAAGAAATTTGACTCAGAACCCTGAGAATCATCTCACATGTTTGCGTACTCACTCATATTTAAGACATCTTGTCAAAAAAGACAACTTAATTGGGAATGTTTTCAAGCTTTCAGAAATTCACTCTCCACTACAGGACTCCCAGATCTTAACCTTGCTCTGACCTTAAGCACTTCAAAGTGGTAATTCTTTTAAGTGACAGAATAAACTTCCCCCGAATACTCCCACTTACATCTCCCACACAGACAGGATCGAGTGTAGGCAGACGATAAATTGCAAGACTGTTGGGGTTGTCTCCACCTGTGGCTAGAAGGGTCCTTGAGGGGTTGAGCTCAATGGCATGAATACCACAACCCTGCTGGTTCACCATGCCGGGTTCACGATCTTTCAGAATAGGAATCTTGGTGATTTGACCAGTCTGGACATCTACTACAAATAACTGGGGAAAAAAAAACAGGAGATGTAAGTCATCATCAAACAGATAAGAAAAACAAGATGGTCAAATATCCTCCCTATTTTCAACTGACATTCTTTTCAAGTTGGAATACACAAATGCTGCAAGCATGGCTGAAAAAGGCATAAATTCCTTCTTAAAAGAAGTAAACTAACAATTACAGTGGGTTTTATTTCAATCATCCCATTTGGTTTTCACAGCAATAGAAGAGCGAGAAGAGAATTTGTCATGGGAGGTTTCCCATTTAACAAAACACTTGAATCTAAAACTCTTTTCCCTGTTCAATACCATGACAAAACAATATTGTTTTCCAGTTTCCCTGTACAACAATGAGAAAGAGACCCAGCTCAAAACAGCCAGTAAGCCCCCAGGCGCTTAGCACAAGTCTTCTGCCTCCCAGATAAGATACTTACCCTGAAGTTCTGGCTTTGGCAAACTAAAATATAAATTTATATAATTGGAGTTTATTTTCTGGTGATAAGAAAATCACTAGAGGATCACTAGAGGATAGTAACTAAATATAGCACTGCCAGTGCGAACATCTAAAAAAGATATCTATCTACATACCTCATCCTGCAAAAAGACTAGAAGTTGGAGCTCTATGTCACTGTCCCCTTGGCAGAAAACTCAGTTACAAAGCCTTACAACTCTTTAAACAGACATCATTATACCCAGAGTTATGTCAGTTCAAACATACACAACCATAGGGTTACAATATAAACCAGAAGAAAGGTTTACATCGCCTGCCAAAACACACTTTCATTTGGGAGGCTCTTGTGCTGGATCATTTCAAAGATGTTGTTCAGAGGGCAGCTGCACTAACAGTCAAATAGGTGTAACGGAGGGGACAAAGCCCTGTGAGGGAACATGAGTGAGAAGCAAGGAAGTGGAGGATCTGAAGCTGACTTGGCACTAAGGAAAGTGATGTAGAATCACAGCCCAGGATTATAATTAAATTCCATACACCCCCACGCCCCTTAAGTTTGTTTGTTCTATAACCAAAGAACAATGTCTCAAAGCCTCTGGAAGTGAACTGAAGATCAAGACAACAACCTAAAAAAGAAAACTCAATGCAATTTAAAAAATACACACCTTAAGTAAGTTGTTCTGAAATCCTTTGTCAGACATTTCTAGAAGGACAGAAGAGAAATCTCGAGGTTGTCAGAGAGAAATTACACTTACAAGTTGGTTTTGGTGAACTCTCACAGACTGTAGATCTGTTCTTTAATAAGCGTAAAAAAACCCAAGAAAATTTAGCAGCATATCTATTATTCTTCATGTACTGAACTAGCAGAATATTAATGTCAAATCAAAACTTGATAAAATATGGTATGTTAAACTCATTCTACAGAGAAAGCTGAAATCCATTCATCGCTATTTGTGTGTTGTGTCTAGAATTATGCATCACCTTCAACCTGCAACTGATCTTCCTCTGTAGGCAGCAGTCTTGCACAGATGACTGTTCCTACAGGGACTGAATTTTCATGTTTCTTTTTTTATTTTGCATGCAGGTGTGGGGTCAGGCAACAGCTGAAGTGCAGCTGAGTAGGATGGACGTACTCCTCACTTCTCCCAAGCCTTACAATGCAGTTCACTGCCTGAGACAGCTGGTAAAAACATGAAGCACACAGCAGCCCCTCTGCCCTAACCACGCCCCTGAAAATTAACACCTGCACTGTAGGATCAGGACCAGTAATCCCCTCTCCTCTCATCCTCCCTTGTCCTTTCCCTATCAGTGCACACCCTCTTCTCTTCCTCAGTATTTCCTTCCAGCAGAAAAGCCCAATTCCCTCCCCTATTCTCCTTCAACTACTGAAAAAAAACCCCAAAATCAACAGTTAAGTACCTAAGATTAAGGCTTGCAAGTGTCATCTACAGGTCCTAAAGCTGGCACCAGAAGTGCTCATTAGCAAAACACATCCACACCTCAGGATGTCCTGGACTCAGGAAAATCGTGCTTCAACTGGAAGAGATTCACACTTCAAAAAGCACCTCAACAGGTATGAGGACTGAAATTAAAAAGCCTTCACATTCTCCAGTCTGACACCACTGTCATACATCCATGTTTGATACTAGGTTAATAAAGACTTACTCTAATGCAAAATTCCTTTAGCTAAACTCTAAACTAATTGGGCTGAAAACAAAGAACTTGGAAACCCACAATGCTGAAGCATCAGACCCTCACATTTCTGCCCTGGATCTTCAACCTCAACATAATTTTCCTGTAACAAGTTTCCAAACGAAGATATTCTCAGAAGCAGCAACAGGACATATTTCTTGCAGTCCTTTCATCTGCTTGTACCCTACTCTAATCCATCATCAGCCCTGGAACTGCTTTGTCATTTCCTCACTTTTCTCCTCCAGTTGCACAGTATTACCGTAACCAGAACGGCAACTGCTCTTAGGGCAAGAAACTACGCAGAGTTAAGGGACTGGCTTTGTAGTTTCAGCTGTAGAGTTTTAAGCAGTAACTTCTCTCCTTGCTTGGTAAGGAACTTGGCACACTGTGTGTATTTTAAAAACAACCACCACCGCCCTAGAATAAAATAAGCAAGCACTGTCTGCATACGCTAGGACTCTTGCATCACCTGGAGCAGGACAGGAAGCCAGAAGCTCACACTTGCAAGCTGCACCACTGATTGCCAAGAAGTCTTCCCTATAAATCCAGCAAACGGAAGCCAGGAGAAGCCAAACAGTTGTTACACACTTCTAAAGCCAAAAAGGGAGAAACGTTAAGAAACAAGATAGGCACCCAGCTAACAATACAGAAAATTTGAATACCATTTCAAGAGTTTTAAAGACACGACAGTAAATAAAGTACAAAATATCCGACTGCTTTTAAACAAGTGCAGCCAAAGCCGCAGCATACAATGACATCAATCTGAAGAAAAAACAGAAATTGGCCTACTTCCTTCCAAGCAAACTGGTACCTTCACTACTCTTGAAATAAGTACATCTGCAAATAACTCCAAAGCAGCCTGGCCTCAGAGTCCTGACAAAGTCTTGATAGCTGAACTGTACATTTAGTTTTTTCTTTATCTTAAGCAGGAATAAGAACTTCTTTTCCAGCTACTCGTTATATAGAAACTAAAAACCAGCCACAAAAACTCTCCCCGGATGCAGTAAACCCCCACCAACCTCCAGACAGTGAATTGTGCATATTTGTCCCTTGACTTTAAGCTTTGCACATAATTCTGCTCTTCCTGCTAGTAAAATGTATGCATGTCAGCCATTAGCGTGCCAAATAACTTGACATCCAGGATTTACCAAGCTAGGACTGCTTTGGCCATCTGCCAGAAGTCCAAGGACCACACTTCATCTGTGAGACGGAGCAGACTCAGCTATCATGTTCTCTGCAGGACAACCTTGTTCTAACAAGGAAAGAGGCTGGGTGACATGACAGAGAGAAATCCATCTTCCCCTCTTTATTTTTTTTTTTTTTTAAAGCAATTCAGATGTCCAGCTTGCAACAGTGCTATCACTAGAGGATCAAGGCAGACAGGCAAGGCTAGGTACTACAGTTGTCATAGCCATGAATCTTTATGATCTGGCCCTACTTTTCACACCCTATGAGATTACTAGCTGTATGCTTATTTTTCTTTTGGTTTGCAGAAGTGGTGAGAAGTCATTTTGGCAAATGGCTCCCATACAATTACTACGTGGCTGTCCCCTTTTCAAACTGCTTACGATCAAGTTAATCAAGAAACTGCCCCAGTTCATTGACTAAGGAACTTCATTAATCAACTTGCCAAAAGTAAAGACTGTGGCAGGGAATCGAGTGTGTCTGAGGACCAGAGTCTGAACTGCAGAACTCATCCTTCTCTTACACAGAATATTGAGAGCAGAACAGCTTGCCAGGCTCTTCTGTCAAGTCTACTTTCATTTTCTGACCTGCCTTTTGGAGACAACAGTTTATGGGGAAAAAACCACCAACCAAACTTACCAATTCATTAAATATACATGCCCTTCCCATACATCTTTAACAGAAAGCATTGACTTTATACATCAAGATTAAAAAACAGGCCTATGAAATGTCATTTCAAGGCAGCACGTAGACTCTCTCGTGTCCTCTGCTGCTGCCCCTGCACACAGAACAGCAGATGAACAGGCAGCCCTATCTTCTAGCTGATCATACAAATCAATCGGAACAAAACCAAAGGGTGCCACCCTGAGCTACAGCATGTTTTTATGACACAAGCAGGATGGACGTAGATTTACAAGGCACAAAGAACATGCATGAAAGACTGCTTATTCTTCACACAAGAAGTGCTCACGATACGTTCCGCACCGCAGCTCTTTGCATACTGCTCTCAGAAATCACAGGCACATTCCTGTCATTCAAACTAACATTTGAAAGAAACCCAAAATAAACACATTGCCTTGCTAAAAATAGAGTCACTAAGAGAGAATCAGTCGCAATGAAGTTTCAGAATTGGCATAAGCCAATCTTTGAGAATCCACATGCTTCTTCCTCACCCACCCAGACAGTCTCACCACCCTTGTGACAGCAGCTAGTGCTCAGGTAGCTGCAAGGTCAGCTGGATCATATCTCTGCCTTCGGTGAAAACTAACCCTCCAAGAAAACCCGCCTGAACACAAAGCAGCAAGCCGATCCAGCTGACTCCCCAGCTATGCGCACATCAGTGCCAGCAAGAACGAGCAGGTGGGAACATCCCGTTCTGCAGCAGCACAACTCCAGACCAGCTGAAGCTGGTCACAAAAATTTCACCCTCAGCCAAGCTGGAAAATGACATCATTGTTCTCCTTCAAATTTGTTTTTTGCTAACAAAACAACAAAAGCAAGACAATGCTTACAGTGTCATTACACCAATACCACTGCTGGTCACACTGAATAGCACTGTTTGATTTTTCCCAGTTCTCAGTCTTGCCTCTTACTCAGATTGTAAACATCTCTCTTTTCCATGTTCATAAAACACTTAGCATAAAGTTCTTCCATTCTATGGCAATACAGATTTATTAATAGATGCCAAGCCCCAAAGAAACATGGACTCTAAAGACTAAGCTATCAAACTGGTATGTCTCCTTTCCAGTGGAGATCAGGACATGGACTCATCTTCGCACAAAACCTACACGCTACTTGCAGTACAGGCGACGCAAGTGGGTAATGGCCTTACACATCCTCCTTGAAAGGGTCCAAAGAGAAACAATCCAGAATATAAAAAAAACCATCTGAGAAGTGAGCAGCGGTAAAAGCAGCCACCAAGTTACTGACTCTGAACTTACATTTCCAGAGACGAGAGCATGCATTCAGGCACTCCACCTTGCTATGAAACTCTGAAGCACTACTAGCCAATGGGCATGCACTTTGATGTCATTGAATTTGTTTATTGCCAAAATCACATTTGTCAGTTTTTGTTTGTGTCTTGCCCTCTGTGTTTAATTTCAGGAGGCTGGCAGACATTTAACACATGTCGAGAGATGGCAAAGGATGGAGAAGCGAGAGACTTTGCCTGCTAAAGGGCATCTCTACCACCCACACCATAGCTGGCACGGAAACTACCAGACTCTGAAGACAGACGTGGGTATCACATGCAGTTGACAGAAAACCAAATACTCTTAAGATAAGAGACAACACCTGGCTATTTACTCACAAGCCACTGAAAAAAAGGTGAATGGAAGTGTCAGTTATAGGCATCAGAGATTTATTTACACTGAGTTTCGGTCACTGTTCAATGGACTTTGAGTAGAGTTACAAACTGCGGGAGCATGACTTCTCATTCCCTCCCTGGGACCAGAAATGAGCAGTTTTCTTGATTTTTCATTACCTGTGCAAAGCCAGAAGATAGGTTAACTTGCAAAGCAAGTGGAAATCATTTTCCCCAGAGAGAGTCCACATTCACGGATGGAAGAGTAACTGTGCATTGTATTCTCACCACTACAACCCCAGGACTACAAGACTAGGTTACAGTTGTATGAGATGCACAGAACAGACATGGAATCTCTTGAACAAATTAAAAGTCTCTAAGAAGAAACAAGAGCTGGTGATTTACAGCAGGGCATCCACAGCAACATATGAATCCACCAAAGAGAGAAAAGGTATCGGCTAGCATTCAGAAAGCAACCCATTCATGCCTTGGAAAAGCCACCTGAGAAAACAGAAGAGAGCATTTCGCAAGGAAATTTTTAAACACAATACATCTATCAGGCCTGTCTAGGGGGAAAAGAAAAAAAGCAAACAAAAATATTAGATTCCGGGTGATTATATTCTCAAGCAACTGGAAACTAATAAGCTTCTTGTATTTAGGGAATGATTTACAGCTCTTGTATTTTTTCATCCTTAACTTCACAATTAGCAAAAGAATTATGTCCTGAACACATACGCAGAACTAAGGGAACAAAAGAAGCTGCAAAATGATTATTGGAACTTCTTTTTAGAAGCTGCTTTACTCTTCATGGTTTCCTGAAATAGTAAAAAAAAAAAAAAAAAAAAAAAGAAAACTACAGCAATCTCGTGTTCAGTGTTTTCATTTGCCATAAGCTTGTCTCCTACATAAGTCTGAAAGTTTCTCTAAGAAGCTTGAACAGAAGAGGCTGATTACAGACAGTATCTTCTTCGGAGACTTCAAGGTATCAGCCTTTGGTAATTTACATGCTGTCATGACACACCCTAAACATCTGCACCTCTCAGAGGTTTGCCTGCTCATTCATTTGAATCTGAAAAACATTAAGAAGCCCATTGCATACAAGATCTAGAAGATTCTTGCACACATTAATCCTGCCTCAGAAGAGCCCAGGTGGTTGTGTTTGAATTTTTAGACACTTGAATGCTCATATAGGTTCCATAATTCTAAATCTATCAGAAAAAGCATGCACCTTTAAGAAACCCAAATATTTGATTTACAGCTGGCCAACTGTGAGCACCATGATCCACTGGAGAACAATAAAGTTATTTCATATACACAGCTATATCCAGAGATATTTTCAAGGATAAAAAGTCACCCCAAATAATTAAATAAGTTATAATCCTCATTAAAAATGAGCAACTGACAAAGCTCCATATTCTCTTCGGTGTTTACAGTGACTAGTACTGTCAAGTGACTAAAACCAAACCTACTCCTCTATGACAGGAGTGTATTTTTGTTTTGTTATTAAAAATAGTGAATCCTTCTGGCACAGCATACCCAAGGGCAATTTATAAATTAAATGCTAAAAGCTCTGTGCCACGTTCAAGCTTTTATTAAAGTAACTGCTACGGTTTATATTTTTCTGTTGCATTAACTTTAATTACACGCAACTCCAATGCAGCAAACCCCATTAAAGTCAATCAAGCTGTTTTAGATTTACTCCTGACTTAAATGCCACAACTTCAGCGTATGAGAATCAGCAAAGGAATTCTTCTTTATTAGGTCGCTTACTCACGAGATGAGAGAGAAAATCTCATAATTAGAGTGTAGAGTTTAACGCTCTACTTGTTCAAATGCAAACACAAAGCAACCAGGCTAAAGCTATTACAGTATTCATAATTCATATACAATCTTTCACAATGCTGAAGTGACTTCTTTTGTAATCGTTGTATTTTGCTTAATAACAGACGAGGTCCATCTGGAACGTTAAGTCTATGTGGAAGCATACACTTCGTTGCAGCATAAAAAGTGGGAACAACAATATGGCTGAATCCCTCTTCAGTTTCGTGATTGTTTGGTCCCAAACCATTTTCTGCAAGGTTGCGTTAACAACGCACTTGCCCATTTATCTTTGCTGCAGCAGCGCTGGAACTACAAAAGTTACAGAACGCAGCAAAATTGTTGCAGCTCTATAAAACATGCAGTCATCTTGCTAGAGTAAGCAAGATTTTTGAGAGCTTGTGTTTCAACTGTAAGCTGTTCCACGAAGAGTGCTGGCTGCTGACTGGCCGAGGCGATGAGCACCCGTGGAGAAAGAAGGCAGATTCTATTTCAGGATTATTCCTGTTAAAGATTGTTTTGTTTATACAGCTAGGCCTCACTTCTTAGGAGCTACTGCATGAAAGCCTCCTGCTAGGTAACTATGAATAATAACAGAACACCTGAAATGAAAAAAACCAGCACTGTCCCTTGCAGGTCAGACCATTAAGTGCAGCTTCGGCGCAAAAAAATCTTGAGGCAAAGAAACAATCACATCAACTGATTACTTTGACGTTTAAGAGCTGCTTGATCTATACATTCCTTACAATGCTCGATTCATTTCCGTGGCACTAACCAACTTGCAAAGAACAAATTTGGGATTTTGCACTAATTCAGTTAGAACTTCATACATGAAATTGCCACCTCAGCCAATGACGTTAGGCTACTAACTCCAACAGAGATAATATTACCCAAGAGGTATGTTCTCCTACATTTATTAATCACATAGGACATAAATTTAATATTCCTCTATAATGTTTCAAATTCAAAGCATCACTTTAAGAGTCTGAAGAGGTGTCAATTTTTGCTGAAGCGTATAAAGGTACATAAACAAGAGAAGTTATTTGAATGCTGAAAACAGATTTAGAGTGGAAAAAAAATCACAAAGTGAACAAGCAAAGGCTAATCCTGAAAACCTGAAATTCATTTTTTAATCTTGGAACATTTCTAGCTACTCTGACGAATATCTGGAGTTTAACCACAGATAGTTAAACTCCAGATATTTAGTTTTGTAGCAACTTTTCAAAATCATCAGCACAGAACCATACGTAAAACCAAACCGTGTAAGACCGAGCATAATGAAAAAAAGTCTTACTGGCAATTTCTGGCAGGCGTGACAGTTACCATTTAGCAAAGCTAGCGCCATTCATTAACTTTCCATTTGCAGGACAAGAAGAAAGATCCAACCACATTGTTGCTCTCCATCCCGCAAACAGATGTAAATTGCTCTGTGCAGATTAGACAGATGCTGCATCGAGGTACAGGCCTCAAGTTCAGGTTCGCAGCCATCTGCACAGCGCTATATTTTCAGATGAGAACGGGTCATCGTTAAGCATTACCTTCGTTCAAAATTAATTGTGCGTGATTTTGACTCCGCTCCTAATTACTTCCTAATATTTTCCTTGGCAGTCTACGTACTTTGACTACAGTAAGCCTCATTTGGGGGTGGAATAATTCACAGAGAGAAGAGAAACAGAGAGGTGGCACTTACTGTGTTGCATTTTGTCCCACACACCACTTGTCGGTGGTTCAGCCACTGGGAGGCAAACACTTTATTAAGGGTTCCGAGGTGAAATTCTCTCTCCTTCAGGAGGCTGGGAAGCTGTTGGGCCGCATATCCATGCAACAAGCGGTGATAGCTGGACTCATTCTGCATCCTGACCTCTCTACCTTTCAGGTAGTACACCAGAGACCTTTTCACCGGGGGGAGTCTTTTCCTTTTGTGAACTGAGTGATCCCACCCATACTGTGGAAAATAAACATGGGAAGTAGATAAAGCAACTACAACAAACTTAAGACACGACCCATCTGAACTCAAAAACATTCCCAGCAAAATACTGAAGTCTTCCAAACTACTCATGGAATACCATTCAGAAATGCTGACACAGCCTTCAGCGACATAAAACTAAACATAAATATTTACTAAAGATGTAACACTGCCATGATATGAAAACCAGCCCACACCGGTTCGGCACCGCTGGGACCCCGGACGCTTATAGAAACAAGAGGAAGCCGAGAAGCGTTTTAAATAGAGAAGGGCC